TGGCTGGGGAATTCTGGGAGTTGAAGTCCACATGTCTTAAAGTTGCCAAGTTTGAGAAACACTGAATTACGTAATATAATACCATCTGCTCTTATGCAAACCCATCTCTTGATAATGTCTGCCTTGACTTGGAAAAATAATATTTTTATGCTAGGCACATGTTCAGTACAAAAGACGCCAAGAGAGCTGTATCATATAATCCATTCCTTGCTGCAAATAAAAACATTGGCACTCGGATCACGCTCCCCAAAGAGACCTGGGAACTGAAAACTGAAAACAGATCTAGCCTCCCCTGGCAAATTGTACTTTTCATGTTAGGTTTTGGTGGGCATGTACCCCACATCCTAACCTGGTGAGGGTCTCAGGACTCAGAGCAACAATGGTTTTGTTGCCGCCTCTCTGCTTTGAAACAAGTTTTCCTGAATTTGTTTGCTTTGGTTAAATTAAGACCCAAGAATTCCGGATGGCATTTGGGGCGGAAAGTGGGCACCGTTCCGTTTATAGCATTTGCTGCTTTTTTTGCTGGGTTTTTCGTTCATCTGGGCGGCGATCAATGTTTGTTTCCAGCTGGTGAGGTCAACGTCTGAGGAATCGCTTGCTATAAAAATACAAGCAGCACAATTGCAGCCCAAGCAATACCAATGCAATACAAACAAATGGAAAAAGGGGTCCATTTCACCCCCCCCCAATATATTAGGGCCTCCGTGCGTAGAAAGAGGTGGCACCAGCTTGCCAGCGTTGGCAGGAAAACGTGGGCGTGCTCCCAGACTACCATGTTTTGGCTTCTGGCCGTGCACCGGTTTCTCTCTCCAAAGTTGCACCAGGCAGTTCGCCCTCCAGGAGGAAGGATGCTCGGAGCGCCGGGTGTGGGCAGAGTCTGCAGGAATGGGGGAGAACACCCCCCAGACGAGACAGTGCGCCCCCAAATCTTTCCGGGGTATTCCTGATCTCTCCCCTCCATCGGGCAGAACATTTCAAGGCTCGGTTGCTTGTGCAAAGACACAGCGATCCCCGGGTCCTTATCTGCTGCTTACAGACCGCAGGACCCACAGGAAGGTGGGGAGAGCCACGCTCTGTCTGCCCCCCATCCTGCCCAACTAAAAATAAAACACAGCCCTATCTCTTTTGTCTTTTGAAGGGGCCCCAAGGAACTGGGCTGGGAGAATGGAATTTGATAACCAAACTGCAGCCGGGCAGCAGGGCACGGGGACTGCCCTCCCCGTGGGGGCTGAACTGACCCCCTGGGGCGCTTTTGGGCAAAGTCCACGCCCTCAGGTAGGCTGGACAACCATCCCCATTGCCAGGGCTGTCCAGGGACGATAGGGGAAGTAGTCCCATTCAGCCGGGCTAGTGCATCTTCAGGAAGGACAGTTTTATAATTTCCAGCTCTCCTTTTTTTTGACAGTTTGGCGAGCTTTAGCCTCCTAGCAAAATCCAAGTGGAAGATGCATCATTTTCCTTGCAAAAAGTCAAAGGGTTCGGGTGCCCCCCCAGCCATGGAAGCTCCCTGGGTGTTTGGGCCAGTTGCTCCTGCACAGCCCAGCCTCCCTCGCAGGGCTGTTGTGGGGGGGGCAGGAAGTTGGAAGAAGGCTTACTATAACGTAGATGCGTAGGCTTGAGTCCCGAAAAGCTGGGATAGAAATCAAACAAATCTGTGGCACGCTACGCTTTGGCACTTTTTACTGACTGTTCCCTGTGGCTGTTCTTAGGGAAGCCCAGAAAAACTAGGTTCTTCAGGGTCAAAGGGACCAGTTCCAGCTGGCACGGCAGGAAGGACAGCTAGTTTCCATGCGTGCTTCTAGAAAAGTTATATATATTTTTTCTATATCTAGAGAGAGGAGGGAAAAGTTAACCCAGGAACACTTCCAGCAGTGAAGGGCCATGCCAGGAAACAAAGCAGTAAACTAAACACCCTGCACTGCAATAGCGGCTTTGAAAACTGGAAATGGCCAGCTTGCTTTGTTGATGCTAATCTGTATTTTGCTTTTTTTTTTTTTTAACGTGCAGCTTTCAGAATGAAAACAAACCAGGCTTCGTATTTTAATGTGCAACCTTGAGAACATCTTTAGCAACTTCAAGATGTGTTCGAACAACTTTAGCAACTTCAGGAGGTGTGGACTTCAACTCCCAGAATTCCCCAGCCAGCCATGCTGGCTGGAGAATTCTGGGAATTGAAGTCCGCATATCTTAAAGTTGCTAAGGTTGAGAAACACTGCTTTGGAATAAAGACCAAACCAGGCTTCATATTTTAATGCACAACCTTTAGAATAAAGACCAAATATATTTTGGTCCAATATTTTTAATGTGCAACTTTTAGAGCAGAAACCAAACCAATTTGGTTCCATTTTCAACCTGTTCAATTGTTCAATGTTCAATGTATTCGATGGTTCACTGAACAGTTCAGATTGCTCGATGTTCAGTTTCCCCTTCTTCTCCCATTGCTGTAGAAGTGCAAACGTCACGCCATGCTCCACGCAGAGAAGACAACCAAATTCTGCCACGTTAGAAACGACACCTCTCAAGTTTGTCGCAGCTGGAAGCTGTCCCCCCAACAACGAGATGAGAGGTTTGTATTGCAAACATCCTGGCACCCAAAGGTCCGGGGACCAGTCCCCCAAAAGGCCCCAAAGCTTGCCCGCTTCTGCAATCCGCCCGAAGAACAGCCACAAGCAGATGGCAAAAAACAGCTCAGAGTTTCACATCCAAAGGATGCCCATCTAAGTCAGTGGTTGGACTGAATTGCACACCCGCTCAAGTTCCCTTTGCGGCTGTTTTCACCCGCATCATGAAAAAAGTGTATCTGAATGGGAATTACCCAAGCCGGCCATCTGGACCCACCTGGGGGAATATTTGCACCCTCGCTGCCCAGCTGGTGTTGTTCTGAGCGGCTGGAAAGTCACTCAGCAGCTGCAGGGGCGATGCTGACTTTCAGACGGGGAAAACTACAACCGTGGTCAGAAGGAGCTCTTTCCCACATGCTAAAAGCAAAGGGGGGGGGGAGAATTGAGAAAGGATGGAGGTTGCACCCTCCAGTTTCTGGTCCGTCGGTGGAAATGCTGACTTCGTGCAATCGTCCGCCCCAAGAACGCAAGCAGACGCTCTCCAACCCTTGCAGAAATGCTAATTGCAGCTTCCAATCTCCACAGAGACGGAAGGGCTCCGAAAAAAGCCGGAGACGGATCTTTAAGGTGGGGGGGACCTTCCCTTCCCCGGAAACCGAGGGCCTGAAAGCAGCTTTTCAACACACGTCCTGATGAATTAAGGCCTCCAGCCAGGAGCTCTGTCCAAACAGGAAGGAGGTCCGGCTCTTGTGGGTTGAGGGTCTCCAAGGTTTTTGGGGAGAAGAAAAGGATCAAGGCCAGGCACAGTGGGAGGGGGATATTTTAAAGAGCTTAAGGACACAGAGGCCTGGAAGGGATGGCGGATGGGTTTCCATGGAAACAGGAACTGCAGAGGAAGATCCTGCTTGGTCCAAGGTTGAAGACCTCGGAGGAGGCGTTCCTCTTGATCGCCACCTCCCCTGACTTGGTTTCACTAAATGTCCCCTAATGAAGTTCAGTGGGGTCCTGTGGAAATGCCTTGTTCTGGAAATAGGAGCACCCTTTTAACATGGGGCTTTGGGGTAGGAAGCTGGCATCTCAAAAATGGCCCTCCAGGTGGCAAGGGGGCTCTTGGCTGGATCACCAGCAGGAGAGGGTACAGGGGATAGGCAGGAGAGCTGGCAATGAGTCCTCCTTCCCCAACCTGGTGCCTGTCAGATGCATCAGAACCACAACTTCTGGGGGCCCCAGGGCAGGGCCACGCGGATTGGGAATTCCCAATGCATCTGCCGGGCACCAGGTTGGGGAAGCCGTCATCGGTAATGCTTTCCACCACATCAACAAGTCTTCAGATTACTGATGAACTCACAGACCACCGCAGAGTGTTTTGCAGACGCCAAGCAACCAGTTCTCCTCCAGGCAAACTCTCTTTATCCGCCCCGCCACCCTTTGACAATGCATTTCTTTTTGGCAACCTGGAGCAAATACCAAAAGGTGAGGTAAAACTCCCATAGTCATAACTTCAACTCCCAGTCTATGCTATGCTATGCTATACTTATTTAAAAAAGATTTCCAGCCACACAATAAACATTGGCTTGAAGTGGGGGAAGGAGATTTCACTGAAATTGGACCTGGTGCCCTTTTCATGAGAGGTTCTATTGGGTCCCCTCAGGAAGAAAAGGAACGAAAAAGGAAAGAAAGAAGGAAAAGAGAGGGAGAGGGAGAGGGAGGGGGAGGGGAGGGGGAGGGAG